TGGCGATTCTCCTGCCTCAGCTTCCTGAGTGCTCACATTACAGGTGTGTGTTATCACACTTGGCTGTATGCTGAGTTTTTACAGCATGGATGCTTTCTTCATGGGCTGCCTACATATTTGTTTCTGTCTTTCCCAAGATTTCTGATGCTATCAGATTATTATTTGCTGATAAGTTAAATTTCATGTGGAAGTAGGATTGGATTTGTTTTATCTGAATAAAAGCAATTTTTCTAAGTATATTTCTCGGAATGAACTATAAGTACAAGCCTCATTCAAGGCTAAATTGCTCCCTCTTGTGGCCAGAGTCAAGATTTTTGGATTCTTTCTGAAATGTGGAACTGTTATACTGTGATGGTAGGAGATTTGCAGTTTAGTTTGTTATTAGACCTGTTTGTCTGCCTTTCTTTTGAAAGCCAGTAGTATTTTTTTTGCATGTATTTATAATGCCCTCATCTTTTAGTTTTAAAGTCAGGAGGGAAAGTTCTTTAATGTAGGTATTGAGTACCTAACGTGGAGTAATTTTTAAACTAGCTGCATCACAATACTTTTTTTGCTTTGTCTTTTTTTTTTTTTTGTACTGGGGATTGAACTCAGGACGTTGAGTTTGCGAGGCAGGCAGTGGAACCACTGAGCTAAGTACCCGGCTTTTTGCTTTGTCTTTAATCCCAGGATGATTTAAAAAAAATTTTTAAACTAGAAACACAACTTCATTATAAATATATATTTGTTTAAATATTGTAAAAGTAGTATTTTCATGTGAAAGAAATAAAAGTTCTTTTCACTTGCCTCTCTCTCCTTTCTCTTAAATTCTAAATCCTGCTCTGAAGATAATACTGGTTGACAGTTTGGAGTCAAGTTTTCAGAATTCCCTGTGCATTTGCAAATATGTATATACAGAGGCCACTGCTGTAACATTAAGACATTAAGTGAAGCCACAAGAATTTGCTGTTGGGTAATTGCTCACTTATTAGGAACTTCAGGAAGCTTTTTTTGAGACAAGGTCTCACTGTGTAGTCCATGGCAGCCTTGAACTCACACTGTAGCCCATGTAGCCCCGTCCTCCTGCCAGAGCCTCCTGAGGGCTAGGATTACAGGTTTGTGCCACCATACCTGGCTAGGACTTCGTGTCTGCCTTCTTCTGAGGCACTAGCACTGATCATCAGTTCAGGCTTCAAGGCTCTGTCTTTACTTCATTTACTGCAGAGATGTCTCCTGGTCATGTTACCTTTTAGATTCTCATGCTGTCACTATTCTGTACATTACCAAATTTTGATCTAGGTCTCCTGCTATCCCTATGCCTTTCTGTATAGCTTCTAGAGCTCTTCCTCTGTAGTCAGAGGTCTTCTCTGTATTATCAACCTGTTCTGGATGTTTACCTAGTTATCCGACACTGGGCGGTTGCCCGAGTGTACCACGCTCCCCACAGCCACCTGCAGTGGTCTGGCAACTTTCCCCCATTTATATCCTAATACCGAAATACCAGGAAATGGGTGGGCATTGTCCTTGCTCTCAGTTGCTTCATCCTGGCCACTACTGCTCCCTTCTTCTCCATCTCATTTCTTTGAGGTGATGCAGTTTCCCTTTCGTTTATTGACCATTGCAGTTCTTATCTTATAAGCTTCCTCGGAAGCCCTTCTGTTGGCACTCTTACTGATTCATATATCTTTGTGGATGAGTCACCTAGAATTTTGCTATCTCTGTTTCTTGACTTCCTTGTCTCCTGTGACCATTTTTTTGTTTTTCACTTTTAGGCAGATGCTACCCCAGTCACTGACTGGACCCTGATCCTCTTCGTCACTAGAACCATACTACTTAAAAACCCTTGATGGTAAACATTCTGTTTACTCTTTCCCCTCATATACCTATTTCTTTCTTCAAGTTCACTTTTCAGTTCTCAGACCTGTCAGGATATCTCATTCATTGATTCCATGATACCCATATATTTAACTCATTAGCCCCCCTTTAGACTTGGGCCTTGCTTTCATTGTCCTTCCTCTGTCACTCCTTAGCACAAACTCTTCTTGGCTCTTTCGTTCCTTCTTATCTTGGGTGAAGACTGATTCTTATTTGTCTGTACGAGAAGATACGAGAAGATGGAGTAGAATTCTTTTCTGTTCCCCATTGCTTCATCCAGACCATACTTGCTTTTTCTTTTCTGGGAAAACCCACCTCCATGAGTTTAAATTCACTATCAGAGACCTTGATGATTTTACTAGATTTATGTAGTGGATAGAACTATTGCATTAGGGTTTGTAGGTATAACAAGAAGCAACTTTACTTGTTGCTCACATTACCTCTTCTGAACTCTTCTTTTGGATCTTGTCCAAGTTCAGAGTCTTGGACTGCTTCAAATTATGAGAAGTCTCATTTCAAAAATTAAAAGCTAATTCCCACTTCAGACTTCATTTACGTACCAGGTCCTGTGCTTCATTGAGCCTGCCTTGTTCTTGGGAAGCCTGCAGAGGGGAGTAGTTAAGCTGGACATTGAGGGTGGTTTCTGGCTTTTTCCTGTGGCAAACAATGCCACAGTGATATCTTGGTGGAGGTAGAGAGTGTGTAAGTTGAGCACTGATGGTAGAGGTTTGGATCTCAGCGCTGGTTTATTTTATTTTATTAATAAATTTTATTTTATCCCCCGCCCCTTGTGTATAGAAGCTTTGTTTCCATTTTTTCCTTTTGTTTTTTTTTGTTACTGGGGAACAAACTCCGGACCTTGCGCTTGCAAGGCAGGCGGTGGCACCACTGAGCTAAATCCTGGGCCTCCATTTTTTCCTTCTATTTTCACTCTTTTTCTTGTCCCTTCCTTTCTTTCTCCCTCGCTCCTCCCTTGTTCCCCTTCCCATTTTAACATTTTCTTCCCATTTCCCAATATCCATTATACATCTCAGTCCTTATTTCCATATTCAGTTTCTCACACCAGCGAAACAGTGTATTTAAACACGTGTCCAATCTATTTCACTTAAGAGTATGGTCTCAAGGTCCATCCATTTAGCTATAAATGTCTGAAGCTCATCCTTCTTTATGGAAGGGTAGTACTCCATTGTATAAAAAAACCACATCTTTATCCACTCGTCAGTTGATGGCCATTTGGGGTGTTTCCAAGATTTAGCTATTACATACTGTACTGGTATAAACACTGGTGTATATATATTGCTGTGGTATGATGCTTTTAATTCTTTCAGGAAGATACCAAGAAGAGGAATAGCTGGGTCAAATGGAAACTCTAGTTTTATTTTTTTGAGAAATCTTTACACTGATTTCCACAGTGGTTGCACCAGTCTGCACTCCCACCAGCAGTGGAGCAGGGTTCCTCTTTCCCCACAGCCCCATCAGCATTTGTTATTGGTTGATTTCATGATAGCAGCCATTCTTTCTGGAGTGAGATAGAATCTCAGTGTTATTTTAATTTGCATCTCTTGAATGACCAGTGATGTTGAACATTTTTTCATGTATTTATCTGTCATTTCTAATTCTTTATCTGAGAAGTGTCTTTCTGTTTCAGGTGCTCATTTTTGCATTCAGTCTTTAAATTTGGAGGGGTCTTTTTTTTTTTTTTTTGAGTTCTTTATTTATTCTAAGTAACACTCCTTTATCTGAATAGCTGGTAAAATTTTTTTCCCACTCTGTGGGTTGTCTCTTCAGTTTCTCTTGCTGTGCAAAAGCTTTTTAATAAAATGAGGTCCCAGTTGTTGATTCTTGGTAGTATTTTCCATTGGTCTGGGTTTTGTTCATGAAGTCATTGCCTACTCCTATGTCCTCATCTGTTCTACCTATTCTCTCTTCCAGCAGATTTAGTGTTTCTTAACTTATGTGGAGCTGATTCAGTATAATTTAGGAAGGCTTGATATTTTTGGCTCCTGATACATATGTAAATTAAAAATACGTGTTTCAAGATATGTTGTACTTTGATTAACGTGTTCACACCAGGCCATAATTGGTGTGTCTTGCTGCTGTGCAGCTTGAATGACTGGTGGTACATGCATGACTGTCCTGTGAGTGGCTGTGCCACTTCCACCAGTAGTGGTACAAGCTGCCTGATTGGACAGTCATGCATGTACCGGTGGTTCAAGCTGGTGGAATGTGTTAAGAATAATGTTGGTAATAGTAATAATAATTATGGCCATCATTACAAGTGCTTACTAGTTAAAATCATAATACTGTGGGCCGGGCATTTAGCTCAGTGGTTCTGTCACCTGCTTTGCAAGTGCAAGGTCCCGAGTTCGATCCCCTGTACCAAAAAATCATAATACTGTGTTTAAAAGTGCTTTCAGATTAATAACACTAATAATTCTGTTACAACAGTTAATATAGCAAAATAGCAATTTCACATGTGTTATGTTATTAATTTCTCACAGCAACTCTGAAATAGGTGGAATAGATGGTTTTATTTCAGTATATCAAATGAAAAAATTTGCTAAAAATTGTGTAGCTAGTAAGCAGTAGAGCCAGACTTGACCTTAATTTACTTTAAAAGTCTATATGTGAGTGAATTATGTGTTCCTGGACATCCCTGGTTCTTAATTGAGGTGATTTCATTCCACAGGGGACATTTGACAATACTTGGAGACATTTTTTTGGCTGTTGTTACTGGTGAGGGGAAATCTCACTGGGACCCTGGGAAAAGAGGCTTCGAAGGCACTTAACCATCTTGTAATGCGTGGGAAAGTCTTTCACAAAAATCGCTCAACCCAAAATGTCAGGAGTGCTGAGGTTGAGACATGGTGATCAGTGATGACATAGAACAAAGTCTAGATTTTGCTTGTAAGATTTTTCTGGTAAACATCAGATTCACTCCAAACTTCCGTTTGTCCATATCTTCAGTTTCTCTTCGGTTTGAACTTTTTAAAACTTAGCAATAAGCTTCTATCAAAATTTATAGACCAAGTCCAGAGGTGAAGACACGGTGATGCAAGTTTGGAGTAAATCTGATGCTTAGCAGTGACGCTGTTCCAAAGGCTCCTGCTCAAAGGGCTTATGTTCTCCATTCTTCTCCTCATTAGGCTGTTTCCCAGGCGGTGTGCATTGGGTTTCGATTGGAAAACAAGACAAATCTGGGCTTTTGATGAAACTGCAGAACCTTTGCACACGGTTGGATCGGGATGAGAGTTTCTCCCAGAGGCTTCCTCTTAATATTGAAGAGGCCAAAGACCGACTCCGCATTCTGATGCTACACAAACACCCAAGGTACAGATTGTCTCATTTAGGAGGTGTAGGAGACTTCGCTATGGACATCCTGAGAACATCATGCCCTTTTCCTGCTGTTTTGTAGAGGGGCGAAGAAGGAGCCATTGCTTTCCCGCTGCTCGCTCTCTCTCGTATTAAAAAAAGTAGTAGCTGGTACTTGCTCTGAAATTGTCACTTCTTTCCTTTTTTGCATTCTGCTCACTACATTGTCTCATATGTATGTACCACTGTAAGATCTCTCTTTTTTTTTTTTTTTTTTGGTACTGGGGATCGAACTCGGGCCGTTGCGCTTGCGCAGCAGGTGACAAAACCACTGAGCTAAATCCCTGGCCCAAGGATCTCAAGATACATATCTTACGTAGGTGAGTTGGCAGGTGGTCCGTGTTAGACTAGTGCATACTTTCTACTTTGAATCCACTGTTTCTGATGCATTAACATAGAACAAGAGAGAAAATAAAAGTTAGCATCTGGTGAAAGGCGGGGAAGAAGGATTTTTTTTTGGGGGGGGGATTGAACTCGGGTCATTGCGCTTTCCAGGCAGGAAGCAGAACCACTGAGCTAAATCCCCGGCCCAAGAAGAAGGATTTATTTTTTTATTTTGTTTTTTGTACCGGGGATTGAACTTGGGACCTTGCACTTGCGAGGCAGGTGCTGGAACCACTGAGCTAAATCCCCAGCCTGAGAAGAAGGATTTTTAATGGAACTGTTTTGTTTAAAAAATTTTTAATTTTTACTTTTTGGTTTTTGAGATAGGGTCTCACTGTGCAGTTCAGGCTGGCCTCAACTCTCAGGGATCCTCCTGCTTCAGCCTCCCAAGTGCTGACATTATAGGCTGGCACTGCCACGCCCAACAATGGGACCCTTATGTTAGGTTGTCATAGTTTTTAGAGGTATACCTGTGACTTTTGTATATTTCAAGAACTTGGTTTTTCAATAATTAATTCAATAACTATCATAATTTTGTGCAAGGCTCTGTTATCTACTGTTTCAGTTTCATTGGCTAAAGGGAGACACAGCTTAGTTACTGCTTGTGTTAAGAATATAATCATATCCACAACCTGAGAAGCAGCCTTGAGCAGCTAAGCTCACTGAGGCCGTAGGGAGCATCTGGGGACCCCAGCTCTGCAAGACCACAGGAAGGTAGCCCCACAGTTCTCAGACACTGGCGAGCACCTCTTCTGGGACCCTGGTGTGGCCTGGACCCCAGGCGTGGCCTGGCCACCAGCTGGCCATCAGACCCTGGCAGGTACCCTGCCTCTTCTGTCATTCATTTGGAGCCTTGCTCACCTGGGCCCCTGTGCACCCTTGGAACTGGCAGGTGCTCTGACTCTGCTGCTGTTTGCTGTGCTTTCCTGAGTGGGCCTATCACAGTGGCTCCACTCCCATGTGACTGGGGAAACTCTCATACTTGGAGCTGGGCATACCAGGCCCAGAGCTGCTGGGGAATCGGCCCCACTTAAGAGCACTACATCCCGGCTGGTGGAGAGGCTCAGGTTACTGAGACACCCACAGGCATTGCTGATTCTGACTACAGCTGAAGAAGCCACGTAGATGCCACACAGTTGTGCCCATATGGAGCCAAAGTCAGCATGTCCTGCCCAACCAACACTTCAGGACACACTGCAAGGGAAACTGTTTTCTTACCAAAGCCACTAGAGGCAACTGGTCCATCAGATGTACAAATGTCAACATAGGGACACGAGAAGCATGAAAGAGCAAGGTAACCATTTAATTTCCTCTGAGATAAGGAACAAGACAAGAATATCTGCTTTCACCTCTCTTAACTCAATCTCCTATTGGAAGTCTTAGAGCAGTGATGGCAAACCTTTGAGAGACTGAATGCCAGACTTACACCCAGAACCCACTTATCACCAAGTGCCAGCACTGCAATTAGACCTGAACACTGAGGTTTTCATTGAGGAAAAATGACCCTTCATTAACATCTTTCGCTTTTTTTTTCCCCCCAGTACCAGGGATCAAACTCAGGACCTTGTGCTTGTCAGGCAGACATGGGGCCACTGAGCTACATGCCCAACCCCAACATCTTTTGTCTTAAAAGAAAGACACAATAACATGCATGCCATAGGTTTGCCACCACTCTTCTTAGAGCGATAAGGCAAGAGAAGGAAATAAAGGGCATCCAAATAGGAAAAGAAGGGCCAGGGATTTAGCTCAGTGGTTCCTCTGCCGCCTGCCTTGCAAGCCCAAGGACCCAAACAAAACAAAAAAAACAAATAGGAAAAGAAGTCAAATTACCCCTGTTGATAGACAACATGATCTGTAACTTAGATCATCTGATCATTTAACCAACTAACTCCTCTGTCCACTCCCTCTTTAATTGCTCAGTATCTTCTCCTCAGTCCTCCTTCCTTTTGTAGAAAGAAAGTGACTTCTCTTTAGGAAAATATGGCCATTATCACGTACAGGAGGCCACAGTTCTAAAGTCAGTCTTTTCCTTCTCAGTATCATTTGGTTTATGCATTTGCATTTTTCCAAGCTGCGTATGTACCTATTTTTTTTTCTAGTACAGAAGTAGTGTGGTATTCAGATAAAAATGCTGGTGTGTGATTATGCTTTAGGTTTTAATTGTATTTTTTTTCTCATTTATTCTGGTGAGTTTTTACAAGTTTTTGGACAGGTTAATCAGGAATTGACATAAAATTTCTTTGGTATTGTGAATAAACAAATTGATTTCATGGATAGAAAAAACTAGTATTCCAAATGAAAAGTAATATCTTTGCTAATATATACTTTTAGGTTGGAACATTTGAAATTGCTAGTGTTACAGGTAAAAC